TAGCAGAAGCATTATCTAAGGTGATAGTTAAAACTTTATCAATGAGTCCATAAAAATAAACAATTTATAGAACAGTAGTTGCAATATATGCTCCATTGTATCTTGAATCAACAAATTTATAACCAATAATACGTTTTTGTATGTTCTAGTGATGATCAACCCAATGACATGTAACAGTTAAATAATCACAACCATTAGGACTATGACCTATATCAGATGTGATAGGCACTTTACAATCTAAGTGAAACAATACACAACGAATATACTGAAGATATTCGGTTTGAAATTTAAAAACATCATCTCTAACAGTGGTCTTAGGAAAACCTTCAAAAGCAGGATTATAAGTTTTTTGTATATAATGCACAAAAAATAGGACGCGGAACAGGCGAGACGGGACGGGACGGGACAGGATGGGACGAGATGGGACGGGACAGGCGGGACAGGCGAGACGGGACGGGACGAGACGGGACGAAATGAGACGGGACAAACGGGACGAAATGGCCATCCCGTCCCATCCCGTGTCCCGTTTAATATGGGCCCATCCCGTTTAGAATTAAGCGGGACGGGATACGACGCGGGACGGGACCGGGACGGGATGGGACGTTGGACAGCCATATGCAAACATAGTACAGGCTTGTAGATGGTGATTAAGAATAATCAATAATATAGGAAAGAGTTCACCTATTCCTAGGTAGTAATTTGTTCACATCAATGTCCTTTTCTTTTCCTGCTTTTCTTGAGTCTTTCTTTAACTTTGTTTTTTCTTCTAATGATGGTATTCCTTTTTCAACACAACAATACTATAATCAACATGAGGTGCTTTATGTGAATTAATAATTGAAAAAGCTTCAAGAGTGTTGAACCAGAAAAACAGTCAAAATTAAAGGGCCAAAGCACTATATATACTACTAGTTGTTTAAAGAATTTCAATCGCATTACATTTCTCCTATTGCTCAGCGAGTTCTCCTCTACACATGCTTTTGACACATGTCCCGTCCACAAATCCAAGCTTACCATTTTCTCTCAGTGCTTACTTCATCGCCCTACTCCATAAGACATAATTTTCTGGCCATGTGAGCTTTATGGGAACTGGAACTAAACCTGGAGCATCGGATGCTTGAAGAAACAGCGGGTGATTATGTTCTAGCAAAGTCACTTCGTTTCTTGCCATGTATGCATTGAAGATCCACGAATCTCTAATTTCATAGAGATTCTACTGTCATTCGTCGAAACTTCGCGTTTGAGCCCTAGATTCGAGATCGCTGCTCTGATACCATATTAATTGAGCTAGCAACGACTGAAAATCATACATGCAACTGACTACAATCAATGAAACAGTGATGAATTCAATCATAGAGAACGAGAGATGAAGAGAGGAATATTTTAGAAGCTTTGGTAGTTAATTTTGTTATTCTTAAATCTGAGATCAGTGTGATCTCCTTTTATATCTAATTACATGTACTCTTAGCTCTCTCACTTTCCTTATTTACAATATGTAGTCTCCTAGTTCCTTGTAGCCTTCTTTTAGTCCCTTCACTTCAATAATAAGTGATGATTATTATTTTTCTCTAAGAAATAGCTTTCATCTTGAGCCGATGGTCTATCGAAAATAACCTCTTTACCTTCTCAAGGTAGGGGTAAGACACACTATCCTCTCCAGACCCATTGTGGGATTACACTAGTTTTTTTTTTTTTTGTTGTTATCTAAGAAATTGCTTTCACAACTAGATAACATTCTCAGAAAGTATAAGGATTATAATAATAACCATGAGCAATTTTTCTATCTTATCACAAACACAGTTGCTGTCTCGAGTCTGAACCAGCGGTGTCGACCTCCATCCTGCCAGTGTCCTGTATAACAAAGTTTCTCAACAGGGCAACTCTCTGGTCTCGTTTCTGGATCACCCCTCTCATCTATAACTTCAACATTAAGCCCCGGCAACTTCTGACCTAGCAGCTTACATACTCCAAAACTTACTGATAATTAGACATCCAAAGGGATCACATTGTCTCCAACTTTGCAGCATTGGCCAATAGAGCCTTGTCACGAAAGGAGCAGTCTCTAATCTCCAACTTACGGAGGCTTTCACAACTAGAGAGCGCGCTGTGGAGGCCAAGATTGCAATCGTTATCAAGAGCATCTCTAGCTTCTTAGTGTGGGGACTGATGTACTCAAACACACAATCTGTAACGAGGCAAGAAACAGAAAGTCGACGGAATTCCTTGCAGGGGTTTGAGGCTAATATGATCCAACTTTAGCATATTTCCAATTTTAGCTATCTTTCCATTTTTGTGTCGTCGATTAGTTGAGTGAGGAGTTAGTTGTGAGTTTGTTACAAATGTTAAAGAATCTCACGTGGTTAGCACATGTATATGAATTCAGCACATGAATATGAACAAATCTTTTTGAGAGTGTGATTGTGTGTGAAAGAAAGAGAAAGAATAAGCATATTAGCATGATAAATGGAAGAAGAAAAGCCGGACAACGTTGCACTATGAGTGGCTTATGAGGTTGTTTAATGTCATTTTTAGGACGGCAAGAATGCCGGAGGAGTAGTGGTGGAGTACAATGATCCCGCTAGTGGGGTGTTCATGGTTCGGTTTGGATCGGTTTTTCCCTAAAAAGAAACTAAACCAAATAAGTCGGTTTTTCAAATAAACCAAACCAAACCAAACCAATTAAGTCGGTTTTTTATCTATTCGGTTTTTCGATTTTTTCATTTATTTATCGATTTTTTCTTAAAGTATGAAACATATACTATACATATTTCGGCGACTACATTTACAACATGACACAATCAAATCAATTGCTCTTTGATAAATCTATCATTTACTAAAATATATTGATGATAATTGAACCAAATAATGATGAATAATTTTAGGACTCAATTAAAAATAGATTATATAGGTATAATAATAAATTTTAAATAGCTACTTTTATAGTCAGTTTGGTTTAATTTTTGTCTGTTATTTTTTTATTAAAACCAAAACCAAACAAAATTTGGCCAGTTTTTAAAATTCAAAACCAAAACCAAACCAAACCAAACCGAAAGAGTTTCAGTTTTTTGGTCAGTTTGATTCGGTTTTCGGCTTGCCTCGATTTTTTAGATTTTTATGAACACCCCTAGCCACTATACAAAAATAAAGGTGATATTCAGAGTTGCAATAACTACAGGGATATCAAGCTACTAAGCAACAACAACAACAATATCAACCGAGTATAATCCCACTAGTAGGGTCTGGGGAGGGTAATGTGCACGCAGACCTTACCCCTACCTTGGGGTAGAGAGATTGTTTCCGATAGATCCTCGACTCCCTATCTCCAAGAACTCCCTGCCTTGCTCTTGGGGTGACTCGAACTCACAACCTCTTGGCTAGAAGTGGAGGATGTATCAAGCTACTAAGCCACACTATGAAAGTTTGGGAGAGGGCGGTGAAGATGAGGGTAAGGAGGAGTATATGATCTATTTCTGAGAACCGGATCAGGTTCATGCCGAGCATTTGACGACAGAAGCCATTTATCTTGTTAGGAAATTGGTGGAACAATATATGGAGAGGAGGAAGGACTTACATCTGGTGTTCATCGATTTGGAACAGGCATATCACAAAGTCCCTAGGAAGGTTCTGTGGAGATGCTTGGAGGCCAGAGGTGTACATATCGTATACACTAGGGCGATTAAATACATGTAGGATGGAGCCAAGACCCGAGTGATAACGGTAGGAGGGGGTCAGGACACTTTCTAGTAGAGGTGAGGTTGCATCAGGGATTCGCGCTTAGCCCGTTCCTATTTGCCTTAGTGATGGATGAGTAGACACGACACATTCAAGGGGAGGTACCTTGGTGCATATTATTTACAGATGACATGTACTGATTGACAAGACACGAGGCGGTGTTAATGTTATGTTGGAGATCTGGAGGCAGACCCTGGAGTCTAAAGGTTTCAAGTTGAGCAAGACTTAAACAGTATACTTGGAGTGCAAGTTTAGTGACGTGACTTAGGAGTCTGATACTAAAGTGAGCTAGACACACAAGTCATACCTAAGAGAGAAAGTTTTAAGTATCTTGGGTCTATAATTCAGGTAAATAGGGAGATTGACGAGGATATCACACATCGTATTGGAGCAGGGTGGATGAAGTGGAGGCTCGCATCTGGCATCTTGTGCGACAAAAATGCTCCACCAAAACTTAAAGGTAAGTTTTACAGAGTTGTGATTAGACCGACCATGTTATATTGGGTAGAGTATTAGTCAGTCAAGACTTCTCATGTTTAGAAGTTAAAAGTTACGGAGATGAAGATGCTGAGATGGATATGTAGTCATACAAGAAGGGATAGGATTAGGAATGGAGATATTCAAGATAAGATGGGAGAGTCCTGTGTGGTGGAGAAGATACGGAAAGCTAGGCTGAGATGGTTCGGGCGTGTGAAAAGAAGAATCATAGATGCCCCAGTGAGGAGGTGTGAGAGGTTGGTTGTGACGGATCCAAGGGAGAGGTAGGCTGAAGAAATACAGTGAGAGGTGATCAGACAGGACATGGCACATCTTTAGCTTACCGTAGAGGTGACCCTTGATAGGAGGGTATGGGAGTCGAATATTAGGGTTGTTGGTTAGTAAGTAGTCAAGCGTATTTCCTTTCCAAACTGATATTGTCTTCCCTAGCTGTAGTATTAGTAGTATTATCGTTATCCTTGTGTCAGGTCATATGTCAGGACAAGAGGCGTGCAAATAATCTTCACAAATTGATTAATTAAGAAGATTAAGATGATAATGGGCATTAAAAAAAATCAGAAGTCAATGAATTATATTTTAATATTATCTTGGAATTGTCAATCTTGATCTTAGCTATTTGATTCTTTTTTTCTGTTGGTGGCTTTTCATAGTTGCTTCAAGAAAACAGCATGCTGACACCACACTAATATATACTTACTGTATATATATGTAGATCTGAAAACGAGCAGAGTATGTTAGGTTACAGGTCAAATGTCAAGATCCAAGAGACGTGCAGATAATTTGCACAATTGATTAAGAAGACTAAGATGATAATGTGTGTATTAAAAAACTTCAGAAGTCAATGAATAATGTTGGATTAATCGTAAATCTCTAGCTATTTGTTTTTGTTGGTGGCATTTTAAGTTCTTCTGTCGAATTACTTGATCAACTTCTCTCATAAATCTTTCTGAATCCCATCTTCAGTCAATTACTACAATTTCTCTCACAAATATTTCATAATCCCATAGCTAACTTTCTTTGCCACTGTTGAGAATTATTTCTCAAACAAGCGGTTCTGACATCAGAATCAAGGTTTAATTGTTGAAGTCAAAAGGTAAGATTATGTGATTGATGTTCTCTTACTTTCTATGTTCTAGTTTTCTATATATGTTACTAGCCTGCAGTTAAGACTGCACAATTTAAAACAACAGATATATATATGTCCCTTATTGCCTTGGTAGTACGGACAAATAGGAAAAACTGTTGTAATGGTAAATGAGCAGGACTAGGGAAGAATATATTATGTGGTGATAGGTAATGTTTTGTTGAATATTTTTGTCTTGTACTTTCTTATGTTTCTGGTGTTAGAAACTAAAATTACTGTTCATCTAAATGGGTATTTGCTATTTCTATAGTCTTGTAGCCCATCTACTTATGTTTTATGGAGTACAATATAATAGGGATAGATCTTCAAATTAAATTTGTTTCCTTCTTTGACTTTTTATATATACTTCTTTTCTTCAGTTTCTTGTATTCTTCTATTAGATCCTGAAAGGAAAGGGAAGGATCGGAGAAGCACTTGGTTTGGCAGTACTGAGTAGTGAAAGTTACAAGTATGGAAAGAGGAAAAGAAACTGAGGGAGAAAGAGAGAAAGGGAAAGCAATCAGATTATCGGTATGTCATACAATATATTATCATAACACCATATTGCATATTCCTCACAGATTCTTCATCTGACTTGAGCTCATTAAAAATATGTGGGAACCTAGTGTGCATGTCCTTTATTGACTGAGTCTAAAACTTCCTTAAAAGGTTTCTGCAAATTAAGAAGAAACCAATGTGTTTTTTCTCCACTCTATCAAAAGTAATTTTTTCCTTTCTAATATCAGAAAAGAGAAACTCTCTTCAACTACTGTGGAGGATTCCTTGAAGCGGCCTTCTACAGAAAACTGCAACTATGTTCTACAACTCAGGTACGATTTTAGACTTGGAAACTTTATAGTTACAGTACTGTTGACAACAAAATAGATCTTGGGAGGAACTTTGTGTTCTTGATTGTGTTTTCTTTCAAATTAAATTATAAACATACTTGTTCTTATTCATTGGTAGTAATAATAAATAAGCATACCATGCACCATCAAGTAATAATTTTTAAGAATTCTCGTAAGATGAAACCTTTGAGTTGATGATAATGGGACTCTCAACAGGAATTTCAGTCAAAAGCTATAATTATATACAATTTGAATTTAACCTGTTGTTGTACAGAATATGGTAGAAAACTATAATTTACATACAATTTATATATAATTACTTGTATACAATTATATTAGTTGTGTATATTGTATGTCGTTTGTACATCTGACATATAAAATATATACAATTTATGTCTTCTTCTTCGAGTTTCAACCTAAAATTCCAACCAAAATCAACTCAAATCTTCACCAAACTCTCTCAAAATTGAGATCTTGTGCCCTTATCCCCTTACCTCTTCATACGAATTTTTAACTTCTTATCTCAAGTAGTTGGTTTATTGCCATATATCTCAGATTTTTCATCTTCAACATCAATTAAAAAGGTTAGTCAACCATGGTCTTAGCCTCGATTAGCTAAACAAAGTTTATTTAACTGAATTTTTATGTATGGTTATATCTGCAAAAATGTTTTCTGCATTGACTTTCTTCTGTTTCAAATTTGGCGTCCAACCTTTTGTCATTTTCTACCTAACATCAATGATCTCACCTTCACCTTAATTTTCAACTTCTTATCTTAAGTAGCTGGTTTGTTGGAAAGGGAGAATTCATACACTATCATATTATATTATATTATTATATGTTATATTATATTAATATATATCATACTATATTATAAGCATGAATACTTTTAGGTAAAATTAATTTACTAAAATGTCCTTCAAAAATTGAATGACAATTTTATCCTTATAAAACAAAATCATTTTATTAAGTGTTAATTTCAACTGCATTTGAATCGAATAATGCAGAGAATTGTGTCATCTTCCATTAACAGGGTTTTGTAGTAATTGTTATAAGTACTATTTACGCTGTAGCCTTTTAACATTCTAAACTTTATTTGCTTCATCTTTTGAGTTTCCACTGATAATAACAACTATATGTAGCATTTTCACACCTTTATTGCACTATATAAAGTGCTCAACAAAAGTTTCAAATCAATATATTCTTTTTTTTTCTCCTCCTAAAAAATTCTCTTTATCTCAAAATCGACTGCTGTGTTTTGCTCAACACCATCTTGATAGGTAATTAGACCAATTCAATTTCATATGATTGCATTATGTTTGTGAGCCTCCCTGTTCTATTTATTTCCTGCAGAGGAGTAGGTCCTACTTTACGATATATTAAAGGGCTTACGAAGTTAAGGCAGACACTGCCCTTTTTTCCGTTACACATGCATTCTTAGGTCTGTTAATTTTCCAATTGGTTTATGCCTAGGTTATATGAAAGATTTTCTTAGTATCAACTTGATATATAAGATGGTGTGATTCATGTTTAATGAACAATGTTTTTAAATATATTTTTACGTAGAATACAAAGGAAAGTAATTTCTGGATGCTTATTCTACATAACTTAGACACTAAAAGTGATATATATATATATATATTGCTATAAGGTATTATGAGATATCAAAAAATAAGAAATCTATCAACCTGAATATTTGATACGTTAGAGGAACTTCATAAAAAAAGGGTTGTAACAATTCAATTGATTTTTTACAGATACAAATTGTGATAGTGAGTGACAATCAAGCCATTCGATGATTTGAATAGGCTTACTGTTCATCAATTTTAGTTTGTACTTCCCTTTCAAATTTCCAAATACTCACGATTACATGTTTTAATATCATCTATACTGTTTTAAAAAGTACAACAAAACAAACCCAGTGTAATCCCACAAGTGGGGTCTGAGGAAGGTAGTGTGTACGCAGACCTCACCTCTACCTTGTGAAGGTAGAGAAACGGTTTTCAGTAAACCCTCAGCTCATGGAGCAGTGACAAAGAAGCAACCAACCATAACAATAACGAGAAAAGAAGAATAAAGAAAACAAGGACTCACACATACTAACTATCAATAAGAAAGAAACACATATAATAAAAAGGTCTAGGAACACGAAATAAGATTATTACTAATACTATCAGTAACACTAAGAGACACCCTCGGCTCCCTATCAACCTTCAACCCTAATTCTCGATCTCCACACTTTCCTATTTAGGGCCATGTCTTCCGTGAGGTGAAGCACGACATGTCCTGCCTAATCACTTCTCCCCAATATTTCTTACTACACATGTGAAGGGGCCTCTATTATGCCCAATAAAGTCTCACACAAGATGCTTATATTTAGGTTATCCAGCTAACTGAACAAGAAATTATTTACAAATAGTTAGTTATAAAACAACTTACCTTAAGGAAGAATATGTCAGCACATTCCATGCATGGGTAAAAATTTTTGGCCGTTGTCAACTCATCTTGCTCAGACCGACCCATAGTTTGGCAGCACCTTAAAATACTGTTTTTAAAAATTCATTACAAATTAACATGGACACACGTGCAATACACGTGTCCAGAAACTAGTTATACTAAAAGTAGGAAGCTCCTATCTTCAAAGTTAGTTTACGGTAATATCCTTTAAAATTTGAGTTATCATTTTGTCCTTGGAAAAATCCCTTCAATTAAATAAAAAAAATTCAGTTACATAATTCTTATTTATTAAATTAAAAATGAACCACTGAATTAGAAATGAAGCAGTAATACTTTACTGCTTCAGACTCAATGCAATGAATCCAGTGAGAGTTGAGGGCATTTGATTCTCCTTCAGTTATTTCCCAAAGACGTTCTCATCACTATTATCATGGAAAACATTCACATTTTTATTTTCTTTTTGATAGGATATATGCATTCTTGTTATGTTTTAATGATCGAACAAATTTAATGATAAGAACCGAATAAGGAACCTGATACACATTCTCAAATACGTGAGAATAAAAAGTCTCAAGTAGAGACGTGAATCAACTCTTCAAAAGTCAAAGAAACAACATAGAGAACCGATGGACACCAGTTCCCTTGGTGACCGTACCAGTCAACCTTCCAACAGCTGTAAAGTTGCTGCCTGCATACGCAACAGTATAAAACAGTGTAGTAGTCAACTTCATTGGGAATGCCCTTGCACCAAACATGCTTGCATCATTCAAGTGATGTCGCCCAAGTTATATTAACATTAAACAAAAGGCAAAACATCACTTGAATTTTGAAGATTCTATCCAGCATTCTCTCAAGTTTGTGCATCATTCTAGCAATCGATTTTTCAAAGGATCAAGAACAAAGAACAACATAACAAATGACCAGTTTCCGGTATTGAGTTTTTACATGTCCTTAGTTGTGTTACACCTTTGTTAAAGCACTTTACTGTAATTCCTACTTAGCTTAGTTAGAAGCACTGTGTATGAAACTTTTGTAAAACCATAAATCTTGTGTTTATGTCTTTGCTAAAGTTAGTCGAGTTGTAAGCTTTGTAATAGAGTTATTACAAAGGGGCTTGTAATAGAGTTGTTACAAGTTAGTGAGGGATTAAGAGGTTAATTCCTAGGTTACAATAGGTTGTAATCTGAAGTTTGCTCAGTAGTGAAGTTGAAATCCTACAAGGGTAGGTCGTGATTTTTAATCCCGTGAGCTAGGAGTTTTCCACGTAAAATTTCATTATGTCCTTTACTTACTGCAGTGTGCGTGCGTTCAGTGGAAACTAATAGAGAACCTGATTCTCTATATAAATTGGTGGACCCTTAGTTTCTATCAATTGATATCAGAGCAGGTTCTTTCTATCAAGCTAACACCTAGAAAGGATCCTCATAGCTGCTCCACCAAACTTTGAAGAAGGTCAATCTACCTACAGACCACCAAGATTCAATGGCCAATACTATGGATGGTGGAAGATAAGGATGCATAATTTTATCATGGCTGAAGATTCAGAGCTTCGAGATGTTATCTGAGATGGACCCTTAATCCCTACGAAGACCAGTGGTGACCCAGCAGTATCAGTTCCCAAAACAAGAAAGGAATTCAACGATGTTGATCGTAAGGCCATATAGAAGAATTTTCGAGCAAAAAAAATTCTCGTATGTGGTATTGGACCAGACGAATACAACAGGATTTCAGCATCTCAATCCACTAAGGACATCTGGGAAGCTCTCCAAATAGCTCATGAAGGGACAACTCAAGTCAAGAAGTCAAATATTGATATGCTTACCACAGAGTACGAGCTCTTCAGGATGAAGGATGATGACTCCATTCAGGACATGCATACTCACTTCACCTCCATCATTAATAAGCTTCGTTCTCTGGGAGAAATCATTCCAAGGAACAAACTTGTCAGGAAAATACTTAGCGTATTATCCAGTACCTGGGAAAGTAAAGTAAATGCTATCACGGAGGCAAAGGATCTACAAAAGCTGACCATTGATAAACTCATTGGGAATCTGAAAACTTATGAAATGAAGAAGAAGAAGGACAATGGGAGAAGAGAGCCCAAAAGGGAGAAGAGTCTGGTCTTCAAGACAGACAACAATGATTCAAGTGGTGAGGATACTGATATGGCTTACTTGACAAAGAGATTTCAGAAAATGGTTCGCAGAAATGGATGTATTCCAAAATGGGGCAGCTCCAGCAAGCCAAGAGGCTATGACTTATGTCATAAGTGTGGGAAGTCAACACATTTTATCAAATATTGTCCTCTCCTCAAGCAAGATCAGTACAAACACAACATAGACAAAGCAGCTAAGAGGAACCAAGTTCCTGACAAACGATTCAAAAGAAAAGATATTGCTGACAACGTTGTGAAGCAAGTTCTTGCTGCATGGGGAGACTCTTCCAGTGAATCTGAAGAAGATGATGAAAAATGTGACAGCTTCATGATAGTAGTAGAAAGTGAAGCAACTGAATATGACTCTATC